ATACATCTTCACGGTTCAGTTTTGTTAGTTATCTATGAGAAGGCCCATGGAAAACCACCAGTCACATATGCAATCAGCAAGAACATTTATTAAAATTCCAATATGTTGGGGTGGCAAACAGGAAAGGCAAGAGAAATCTGCAGGCTCCTTTTAAGCAAGATTAGGGGAATTCTAGAGAGGTGAGAGGAGTCTGGGAGCTGATTGATGGGTTTAAACAAAAATTTTAAGGTTGCTATAGGGCTGGTTGGTGGCTCAGTGGTTAAGAGCTTTTCAGCTGCAGGGTGGGAGACACTATCTTTAGTTCTTTTAAGCATGCAGAAAGTTGTAGGGATTTCTCAGATTGGTTGCCCCTGGGTTGCTGCTTTCCCAAGAACTCCTTGCTTGGCTCCAGCCTGTTGCATCGAACTGAAACTAAGGCCTGGTCTCTGGAAGGACTACTAGCTGGGCCTGTCATGGCCCCAGCCCTCTCAGTTTCATCTTGATTTAAAAACTTTCAGTCATTCTAACAACCTGTTCTGCTTTGTACTTGTAAGCTACCAATGTCAGTTCTTGGTATTCCCTCACAGGGTACTTGCACTTACTTCAAGTTGCTTTTTTCTATATCTGTCTTCAAGATGAGTAAGATGCAGTTAACACTACCTAGTGTCACTCTGCACGAGGCACACAGCAAACAGAAACTATATGTAGATTGGGTAAGTAATGTAGGCTGAATGAAGTACCATATTATTGCTTTTAAAATCTCATTACTAGCAGCTAATTACTAGTGGCTTACCCATCTTCCTAGTAAGGTTTTAAGTTGCTTTTGATGCAACTTAAATTTGCCTAATTTCAGAATATAACTGTAATACCACTGATAATTACAAATAAATTCAGCTTAGTTAAGTGATAGGAAAATCCTAAAACAAAAAAACCAGAAATGAATACAAGGAAAATTAGAGTTGGTATTGAAATATCTAGGAAGGATACATGAATATAACACCAAGAAATGAATAATTAGTACAAGTACACTGTTGCTGTGGTTTGGACTGAAGGTAGTCTCAAGAGTAGTGCTATTTGATGGTACCTTTGGGAAGTGGAGTCTACTGGGAGATTCTTAGGCTATCAGCACTATGTCACTTTTCCTTTCCATTTTGCTTTCCTGATCATGAGATAAAGAAAATTTGTTCTATTACACACTGTCCACCTTTGTCACCTGGCACCCACTCCTACAAGAACCCCAAAGCCATGTCTACATAACATTAACTTAAAATGTACAAAACTGTGAACCAAAGGAAATCTTTTTGCTTTATACATTAGTCATCTCAGTATTTCATTGTAGTGGCAGAAGTGAACACAATTGTCTATATGGTAAGAAGCACAATTTTCTATTATCATATCAAATTAATGTTTAGTGGGTATTCATTTATGGATAGATTAATATTAACATAATAAATTGAGTAACAGAGTAATTTTGGTTACAGCTATAACCCGGGGTTTTTAAACATTCATAAAATTATCTCTTTGTATATCTATAATACTTGATCATCATCTTGTAATCAAATATTTAATTTATGTCTATTGTTTTCATATAAGGTGTGGGTAACATGAATAATGTTGGTTCTGATGGTGCTTTAAATTTATCTTTTAGCCAAACTAAAAGACTAACTCAGAAAGTAGTTGGGTGTGGTTGGTTTTTTTTCTAATTCAGTAGTTTCTGGTGTTCAAAATGTCCTGAAATGCTGCCATGAGTGTTTACTCTTATATTGAGATTTAGAAGCAAATATTTTACTAGTAAAAGTAATAACCCACCCTTACTAAGTAATTACTGGTTTCAGGTACGATTATTTCACTGAAGTCTCACAACAGATTTAGGAAGGAGGCATTATGTGTGCAATTATTTACAGAGAAAGAAAGCAGAGTACAGAAGGATTAACTCTTATACTTTTGGTTGTGAGCCTAGCCTTTAATGGCTGAGCCATCTCTCCAGCCCCAGAAGGGTTAACTCTTATAAGCTCTCACTGCCAGGAAGAGACAGAGCTTGAGCTGAAGTTACACAGCTTGACTGTAGAATTCATGCCCGTAACTATCACATAATAGTTACGTTTCCTTTAAGAACACTTTAACATTTATTCTATTTTTAATTAGTTGTAAGTTCATATAAGTGTATGTGGCCTCAAAGGCCAGTGATGTTGGATCTCTCAGAAGTTGGAATTCCAAGTGGTTGTGAGCTGCTCAGTGTAAGTGCAGGGGATTAAACTCAGATTTATTACCAAAGTTTACATTTATGCCACAACAGTTTCACATAAGATGGATAAATTTGATTCTGAAAATAAGGCAGGAAGAAGCAATCCTATTTTAGAAAGTTGCTGGGAACCAAATTGATCCAAGGCTTTCCCTGAGGGCCTACAACCATGAACATGCTTGGCAAAGCCAGTAATAGCCTGGGGCCAGAGCCTTGGGAGCTTTTCTCTGTGGCTTTGATATATAGAGAAGGAACAAAGTTCCTTGTATAAAACCACAAATATGCTTGGCAGAGCCAATAATGGCCCAGGGCCAGGGTTGGAGGTGGAGTGGGGGACTGAGGCTTGCCCGAGAAACCAACTATTCCCCTAAAGGGCTATGGTTATCAGTTCAAAGACCTCTGTGATGTACTTGAGATATCCTGTGCTCCCTTTGTGTAACATTTCTTGATTTCCCTCCTGCTGACTTCTTCCTATTGTATGATAAGATACCTTTCTGCTAACCATATCCTATCTTCTCCCTAAAAACCATAAATAAGATACTGTACTGATTAATAAGCTTGTTAGCATAAGTCATAGCTTGTGCAATACCTCCTGATCTCAGATTTCCTACCTTCTTTATCTTGTCTTCTCATGGTCTACTAGCTCTGGGACCCTGTCACTGAAGAACGACCTGGCCCAGGTCAGAAACTCGTCTCCTAGTAACTCACCTCTACAAGTTGGAATAGCGAAGTGAGACAGCTTCTAGTGCTCAGTTTGTCTACCAGAGGTTTCTTGTTACACATGGTTAGCAATTTAACTGGGGAAACAGTTACAGATATTACAGATAATACCTTTAGAGACAATAACACACCATGGGATCAGAAGAATACCAGTGAGTATTTGATAGGACTTGCTATGAAAGTTGAAAGAAGTAGTTTCTAAAGACTCGGCTACTATAGAAGGTATATTAATACCAGAATGAAAAGTTAGGATTTTAGGGATGGAGAAATGGCTCTACAGGTGAAAGCGCTGCTGCCAATTCTAACATGAGTACTCAGGTCCCACACGGTAGACAGAACAGCTGCCTCCCACAAATTGTACTCTGACTTCTAACACATGATGTGGCATTCCCCACACTCACATACATACAAAAGCATACACAATAAAATTTAATGTAATTGACAAAGTTAGGACTCGATTCTCTAGACCTGCTTTGCTCAATGTAAAAGCCATTAGTGACATGAGGCGATTGAATATTGGAAATGAGTAGTCCAAACTGAGAGTGCTGTAAAGCAAACTATATATAAGTTCTTTATATGATTTTATAATGATATTATAGATGTATTTGTGTTAAATGTAATATTTTAAAGTTACACATGTAGCTTTCATTTATGGCTGACTTTGCTATATTTCTATTGGACAATATTGTTCTGGATAAAAGGAGATTAATGAGCAGTGACCCAAGTAACAATCATCTTGAGGAGTTTAGCCAACTGTCGTGATTTGGATTATAAGGCAACCATCTGTTTTTTCAATGAACTAAAAACAACAACAACAATACAAGTTGTTAGTGAGGGAATTGGTCTTATAAAATACATTTTTAGAGACAGAACAACCCGATGTTTCAAGTGTTTGGTAACAGATCAAAGCAAATTACCCCCCAAAACATCTTCAAAACAACCTGAGAGATTTGAAGAGGGTATATATAGGTTGGCATCAATTAAATATTGACAGTATTGATTGTTTAAGGACATTGTGGAGATAAAAGAAAAAGATGGCAGCAAACTAAAGTACTTGGAGATAAAATGAAAAGTATTTGGGAATTCCTGCAAGATATCAAATAAGTGGCTAGATATTAGACAACACAACACCCTAATGAGGTAGTATATCAAAACATTTGTTTTTAAAACTGAAATTCTTTAATATATTCTATACAAAGAAGAGTCAAGTAGGACTGTTTAATGGAGGCTTTCTTATAATATTGTAGAGGGTGAGATCTGCAACACTTCTGTTGCTTTGTGTATTTTGGTAGGACCACACAGATAGTTTTCTAAGTCCAGGACTGAATCTAGACCCTCTCACCATTAGTATCTTTGCTTTGAACATGACCAAATCCATATTTAGATTTTTAAAGACAACTTTATTATTATTCTGCAATGTTTATAACATTAACAAATTCATCCTATTAGAATATTCTGGAAAGAGTGCTGGTTCTACACCTGCATAATTACTATCTGGCCTTGATCCTTGATTTGTTTCCTCATCTAGAAAGTAGTTATAACAACACCTTCCAAAGTTGTCTCAGTGGGCTGAAGTGAATGCGAAAAAGAGATAGTAAATGTGAAAGTATTTGAATTTTTTAAAAACTTAAAGTCAGTGCTGATGTCTAAAGGCAATGATAATTAGGCATAATCTATTAGCTACCCTCATCCTTATCACCAACACCCCGCCCCCAGTAAAAACCAATAGGACCCGAGTTGCTCAAGGTAAGGTAAGCGGAACCTGGGATGAAGGAGCACCGCAGCAGAGGTGGAAGGATGTGACAATGTCGGTGCCGGGGCCAGGGAGAATTAGAGCAAGATGAGGAAAGGCGTTTCTTCAGAACTTCTCTCACTGCTGACAGAAGCCTCGGAAACGCAGACGGGTTACCATAGCGACCGCGTCCGGGCAGGAGGCGGTACTCTTCGGATATGTGCATCTACAACTAGGGCTCGACTGGAAACGCATTCCCGCGGAACGCCGACTTCCGGCGGAAGGGAAAGTGAGTTCCTCTCTTTGGCTGAATGAGCTCTGAGGGAAAGCTTGGTAAGTCTGACGCTATGAGGAGCCAGGGAAAGAGACCGGTAGGAGCAGGCTGTGTAGGGCGAACTGTGGATACCTCGGGTCCCCAAGCTTCAAGTCGGCGAGATCCGGCTGCTTCATGGTGAATTGGTTTCTAAAGCTGTGCATCCTGGAATGCACAGCTTCAGGAGCGATGTCTTTGCAGGTTGTGACAAACCTAGTAGGACTGCCCTCTCACTGAGCCCGTGCTGTCATTTCGTGATTCTTTACATTTACTCTGGAAGAAAAGAAGTGAGCAGGGAAAATTCAGGGGCTACGTATGCCCTCAACTTCAATTTCTTTGGCACTCTAATTCTTTTATCCATTCGTTTCGTAAATACTAAGCCCCATTGTTTTTTTAGTGAACACCCGTATGCCAGTTTTACCATTAGATTATAAGTACCACCTTCTTAGAAGTTCATCCATCAGCGAGGCTCATTATTAAATTCTCTTTTTCTGACATTGTGAATTCATTTAAGGGATAAGCGTTTATCATGATGTATCTAGAGGGTTTCTGTACTTCCTATATGCATGGCACTTATGAAACATTTTAAATGGAACTATAGACTTTCTTGGGTTTGCATTATGATCACTGCTTACTCAGTCGAGTAATAAAGAATTTAGGAAGGGATATTTCATTATTCCGACTGTAATGAATTGCCGTAACATTTCTACTGCAGCTTATCTGAGAAGACACACTTCAAAGGATGGTGATGGCTTTTGAGCAGACACTCAAAAAGGATTGGTACAGCATTTTGGGGGCAGACCCATCTGCAAATGTGTCAGACCTAAAACAAAAGTATCAGAAACTCGTATTACTGGTAAGTCTTTTCTTTCAGATTGGAAGTCATGGCGGGATGGGGTGGGGGGAGCTTTTTTTTTTTTTTTTAAATATGACCAGAAATTTAACCTTCAAAACATGTATATCAAAAGGAATCTAGATATTTGTTTTTTCAGTTGAAAAATTCAATAGTAGAGAAAAAAGAATTTTGATTTCGTATGAGATAGCATGGTAGTGATTAAGTTAGAATCTTCAGACTCTATCACCATAAAAAGTTAGTCACTTTTCCATTTGTCTCAGCTAGTGTTGAATGAAATAATCCATGTGTGTTTAAAACAACTTTTTACTTAATTGTTGAAATCCTCTAGCTACTAGCCACACTATTGAGACTTGAAATGTGTAATGTTCTGTGTGTAAAACTGTAATGTGTTACAAATATATGCACTGGATTTTGATGACTTGGTACAAATAACAATATAAAATCCTAAAATTTTTTATAGTGGTCATATATTAAAATGATAATACTTTCTATGTATTGGCTGTTGCACAGGATGTATTGCTTGTTTGCATATAACACTAAATTTTTAAGTAATATTTTTATTCTTTGAGAATTTCATATAATTTTGATCATATCCATTCACTTCCCTCCAGCTTGTCCAAGACATACCCCCACCTCCTTACAAACCCAGATTCGAGTTCTCTTCTCCCCCACCTCCAACCTACTGAGTTCAGTTTGTGTTGCCCAAATACTCTTGGGTTTGAAACCTGCCCTGAAGTGTGGTCCACCAATCAGGAGTCAGACCCTTAAAGAAAACTGACTCCTCCTCTGCCTACAATTATCAAATGCCAGTAACTCCTCAGCTAGGGGTAGGGTTTTGTGCTCACCTCTTCCTGTCCATGCTGGGATTTATAATATCAAATGTACCTTAATTTTGCTTGTGCATAACTTGTATGTGCAGCCTTTATTTATATCTTAGATTAATTTCTATTGGATAGTGATAATTTAAGCCTTTTATTGTTTTCACTAATTTTGTTTTTAAAATTAATGTGGTACATAAAATTATCTAGAACCTTTGAATTGTTCTATTCATTTATTCAGTCATACTTTGATGTTTGTGAGCCAAGGTATATAACAATGTAATGGCATCCATTTAGTTCACTTTACAAAAAAGAGCAAAGAATCATTATTTATGTAGCATTGTTTGTCTCGTTTATGACAAATGTGATCTCTGATATTTTGCCCAAACTGTGTTTATTGGGAAAGATATCTCACCATCAAAGATGTACTAATATCCCAGTCTTAGAGAAATGAACTTCAGGTACATTTTGCCTTGGAATTTTGAAGTTATATCAGAAAAATCAAGTACATTTTGTTGAAAAATTTCCTGATACTGAATCATCCTTGTATTTTAGTTAATGCTAGTCAGTGTTAGATAATGCTGTGCTAGATAATTGACTGGGTAGACCTGGAGATCCTTCTATAACCTGTTATCTTTTAATTGAGCACTGAGAAGGCTTTGTATGAGCCTATGTGTCAGACATATTAACAATATATGGTATCTAATCTATGTCCACTACTAAGGTATACACCCAGTATAGAAGTTTTTTTGGTTTTATGAAATATATCCATTTTGGTTTTGTTGTTTTGTATTTACTGCTTCTATGTCTTCTCTAATGTCATGGAAATATTCTTCTGTGTCGTCTTCTAGAAGCTTTATAGTTTGCTTTACTGATAAACCTATGCCTTCTATGTAGGCCAAGGTTAGTGACTAGATTTGTGTGTTCCCTCAGTATAGAGGTGCAGTTCCTCCAGCAGCATCTTCATTTTCTTTCTCCATTATCCTGTCTATTTCTGGGCATTATATGAAATTTTCTCATTCTTTTTAATAAAGTTTTTGTTTGCTTACATTCTTTCTTAACTTTTTATTTCATTTAAAAAAATGTGTGTGTGTTATGCATGCAACCACCACACTGTTGAAGAGAGTCAGTTCTCTTTTCTAACCAGGTGGGTCATGGTGATACAGCTCAGGTCCTTCAGTGTGGCAGCAAGTGCCTTTACCTACTGAGACATCTTTCTAGTCCTTGCTCACATTTCTATAGAAATTTTAGAATCAGCTTGTAAACTGCTAACAAAAAACAGTTTTGGCTGAGTCTTATAAAATTTTATTAATATATATCCATTTTAGCAAAATAGATACCTTACCAATATTGAATTTGAATACATGAACACATCATATTCTTTCCACCACTTATTTAAACCGTTTTTATCTCAACAATATTTATAATTTTTAATATAGAAATTGTGCTAGTTAGTTTTTATTGTCAACTTGACACACCTGGGAAGAGGGAACCTCAGTTAAGGAATTGCCTAGATCAGGTTGGCCTGTGGTTTGTTCTTGGGACATGGTGTGGGAGGGTCCATTGCATTGTGGGTGGTACTGTGCTTAGGCAGGTTTGATTAGGCTGTATAAGAAAGCTAGCTGAGCATAAAGTAAAAGGAAGTAAAAGAGCCAGACAGCTCTTTTCCTGGATGGTTTGTTTCAGTTCCTGCCTGACTTCCCTCAATGCTGGCTCATGACCTGGAAGTTGTAAGATAAAATAAACCCTTTCTTCCCCAAGTTGCTTTTGTTCAGAGGGTTTTATCACAGCAACAGAAGACTGACTTAGGAGACATTTCACACATATTTTGTTGGATTTATACCTACCAGTTTGATGATTTGGTTTCATTATAAATGTCATTCTTTTTCCAATTTCACTTTCTAGTTATTGACTGACAGTATGTAGAATTAGTATAACTTATTTTTATATATCAGTATCTCATCCTTCAGTTGTGGTGACTTTGCTTTAGAATTCTCACAGAACTCTTACAAATTACTGAGACTTTTCTACCAACATAACCATCACTCGAAACAAAAGAGAGGTCTGTCTTTCTATTGTGTGCCATGTGTTTCTTCTAGCCTTACTGTATGATCTACATGGTTTGTATTAAGCTTCAAACCTGGGACAAATGGCTGATGTGCCTATTTAACATATCAAAGTGCACATTGGCCCCCAGGTTCTCCCTTCAGTCCCTCAGCTCTTACCTGTTACAGGACTTTCCTGGCTGGCATAACCTGCCCCCTCCCCCCGAACACTCCAGCCCAGGAGGCCGGGCTGCTCTTGACAATATAATCCAACCATTTTGGTTACCCACTCTTGTACCTTTGGGCCTCCTGGCTGTTGCACCTGGTTCCCATCGCTCCTCTCTCCTGCCCCTCCCTGCTCTCCTCACATGACTCAGGGTCATATTCACTCTGAACTCTGCCAGATGCCCTTGCCTCTGTTTGTGCGATCCCAAAGATCTGCAATACACCTTCTACTACCCCATACCTAGGAGCAGTCATGTTCCTTTCCTTTACTTCTTTTTTTCATTTATTTTTTTTTCTTGCCTATTCCTCTTGTGGTTTTCTTCTTCTGCTATTGCTCTGCCAAGGTTCAAAACTGAAGTGGGTTTCTTATCTCTGAGGAAGGGGCTTTTACATTGTGGATTTGGGTTCTATCGGCTTCCTAGAAGCCTCAGCTTTCTTATTCTTCCACTCTCTATTTTATAAAAGCAAAAGAGTAATTATGGATTATGAAAAAAAAACCAAAAACTCTGGCTCATGATTTCATATGCTACAGTCTGTGATCATCAGAACCATTGCTTTTCTGCCTGTGCTGGGACAGCTTAAGGTAAAGCAAAACCATTTACCAACTGCCAGGGAGCAAGGAGAGAGAGGAAGAGACCGGGCTTCCACATTGCTTTCAAGGGCACCTCCAAAGTCCTTAAGACCTCATTTAGGCCACATCTGCCTGTTGAAGGTCCCATCATTCTCTGATAACATCGACCTGAGGATGGAACATTTGTTTATCACATGGGTCTTTGAGGAAATTTCTGATCAAAACTATAACAGTTACCATTTATGGTCATTTTCCCCATCTAAGTACTAACTAGGTCCAACCCTGCTTAACTTCTGAGATTGTGTGATATAAAGGGCAGTATGGTCATAGACTATGAACAAATTTTCATCTCAGTTTTGGTGTTTCTCAGTTAAATAGTATTTTGATTTCATATATTCATGTCTCTATTTCCTTTGCTGTTACAACAGTGGAATTTGGGGAGGAAGCATGGGTAAATTTATGTATTAATTTGCAGTTTATTAGAAGCTCTGAGCCATTTTTTTTCCTTTTGTGGGACAGATACCCTTCCATGGTCATGTACTGTTATCCCAGGTCTGTTTCGACCTACCTGCTATCTTACCTGAGTAACTCTCATTGGTTGCTTTAATATGTTCTTAGAATCCTCAGCTGCCCATGTGCACCCTTCCTCATGGGTACCCACCTCAGTCTGCTGTGTTTAGTGATAGTTCTGTAGGACACAGGGGGTAGAACTGTAAAGTAGAGAGGATGTTAAGTACAGTGTCATGAAAGTTGGTGTTGACATTCTTTTTTTCCTGCTTTTTTTATGGGAAAGAGTTGAGTGTGTTTACATCTGATGGGGAGAAACCAAGAAAAGATTGTAGATTAAAGTTATAAAGATGTTACTGAAGAAGGAAATATGCCATCTCAAGAATAGGGAGAGAGATGAGCATTGGTAAGAGGAAGGAGAGACTTGTCTCCATTGTTACAGGAAGAAGGAAGAAAATGTGGATACATGGCTGTCTTACTTACCCATTTGATGGCAGAAAGCTGATGTCCTCTATTTGAGAGCTTCTTCTCTTCCTCTGAAGTAGAAGACAAAGGTGTTTATTGAGAAAAGGATGTGAGGAAGAGAAGCAGCAAAATACAGGAAGGTATTTATTTCCCCTAGTATCATTCTGGATATCAGTAGTAAATACTAGTATCAACAGTAAATCTCAGTTGATAACTGTGTATCAGGGAATAAGAGCCACCAGAAACAGTCAGATAGTATTTTTGCCTTTCTGAGTCTAGGTTGTGGTTATACATGATCTGTCAATAGACTAGCACAATAACTGATATTCCTAATTTTGACATTGAGTTATACTATGCTCCATGTGTTCT